GAGTACGGCCATCTCAGGACCGAAGAGAAAGAGAGCCGGGGAAGCGGCGGTGGGGGGGAAGAAACGGCCACCGGGCACTGCTGTAGAAGCGAGTAGGGCGGCCGAGGCAGCACTTGTGGCGAACTATGTACCCGGCTGATGTTGTTGCGCCCTGTTTCCCTCCCTGCTGTATGCTATACTCCTTTGTGTATGTCCTTTTTATTGCCTTCGGCCTCTGTGCTGTGTTTCTTTTTTTTTGCATGACCTCCCTGCCTACTCTGTTGTGTTGGGTACCTTGATCTCGCTCTTGTTGTTGCTGTTGTTTTTGTACGTCTGGCTGTCTGCCCATCTGTCGCCTCTTTGTCCTGTTTGCTCCGTTATTCCCATGCCCTGGTGCGTAGTGCCTGGTCCTGGTACGTTACCCTTTGATTCTTCTTTAGACGGGTGTGGGAAGCGTCCTCCTTTATTTTTGTTTTTGTTTTATTTTGATCGGTTTCCGAGGGCTCTTTTCTCGAACGGTCGGTGCGGTACCTGTTATTTTCTTTCTATCATTTTGTTTTTTTGTTCCGAGTGGTTTGTACCCTTTTTTTGTTTTGTTTCCCCGCTGCGTCGTATGTGCCGGGTTTTGAGGCCACTGGCTCCCCATTGTTTGTGGACAAAATAGAGCAAATGTGAGAATCAACAAAAACAACAACAACAACAACATGGGATAGCGTGGGGGGGTTACAGGCCGAGCGGGCGTAACGTACCGGGTTATGAAAGCGGTCATGCGCGAATTGGTGTGAAGGAGGAGAAAAGAAAATGACATGTGTGAGCCTCCCATCCCTTGGTACATTGTCTGAATTGTGTTTACGCAATACATCGGCAGAAAACTATACTCTATGTCAGGATGATTGGTGAGGAAAATACAACGCGGGATGGATCGAACCAGCGTGACTACACCATGTGACGAATGACCGCTACGCTACATGTTGAAACATATCTATTCCTACTCGCAAATTCTATGAATGTATAGTCGGGGCGGAAACAATGGTGGCAACACCACCCACGCGGCCGATAAGGGCACACTCATACTCTGCGGTCCCCCTCACGCAAAAAGCAGAAACACCGAGTAATTTCTTCCATTACCAATCGTTCAATGGCAAGTTTTTGGTCAGCTAAGGTTTTATGTTCCACAGCAGCAACACATATATACAAAGTATAGAATTATTTCATGCTGAGCGCGCAATTCTTTTCAGCAGAGATATACAATCATGTAAAAATACTATATTCAACCACTATTATATGCTATTATTTATGTATGTTTGCATATATCTGCAATTGTCGGAGGGCAAACAAATGATATATAGTAATAAATATTTTTAAGGAGACAGACAGACGTACATACGTACGTACGTACGTGTTGTCGTATTGACTTGTTGTACAGAGAGAGGCAGCGTATGTATATAGAAAATATAATCGCCTAGTCTCTCTTTTGTCTCAGACTTTGCTTTGTGTTAAGGAGTGTGGCTGCTAGCATGAATAGGGTACATCTTATTGTTGATAGGATGCGGGTCGGTCAGGAGGTATACCCTTCTGACCCCTACCCCCTTAGAATTGTCTACTCTGTGTACCCCCTGAGATGAAGTTGGATCCCCGCTTGATCTCAGACCCTTCCTTGCTGATCGTCCCTCAGCAATGCCAAGCGACTTTCCCATCTCAACGTGGTCGTGGACATTGTCAAGCGTGTCAACGACAGAACCTTCATCTATATCTAGGAGCAAGCTACCGCCCACGGCTTCACCTCCTTTATATTTGCCCCCCAATCGTTGCCGTGCGTGTTTCTAGCCAACAATATAGTCTATATATCAAGAGTCCCATGTCTATGTTGCTTCCGGCACTACATCATGATGAGACGATAAAGATGGCGCTCGCACTTAAGGACTTGGCAGTTAAGAAATGCTGCTTCGAAAAAAATCAAAATCAAATAAAGTGACCACATCATAATAAAAATAACAACACACGTGGTTCATGCTCAGGCCCGACGTGGTGTCAAGAACAAGAACGAACACGCCTTTCTTTGTGGTGTAAGAACATAGCCTTCAAAACGCGACAGCTGCAAGATGTTATAAGCACTCACGAAGGGGTGAGGGGCTACTCGCGGGGTGACCGGTGGGCAGTTAGTCGCAGATCAGGGAGGGGCGAGAAGGAGGTTCCTTTTGAAAATAGTACCGGTGGTGCGGAGATGGGGGAGGTGTACTACTGCTGTTTTTATTTTTGCGCGTCTAACGGTAGACTAGGCACCGGTCGCCCCGGTGGTCTAAACAACATATTCGCCTGATTGAGAGCGTAGCATCTGATTGAGAGCGAGATTGCGCGATACGCTGTAGCCGGACTACCACTGAGAGGTGGAGCTTGCTGTGTAGCTTGAATTGAAGGGCTAGCCCGTAGCTTCAAGCCGCTACCCTGGTCATCCTGTGGGAGTCTCTCGTTGTGGAGCTACAGCGGGGAGCAGAAGCTACAGCAGAGCCCACCGCCCGACGCGATACCGCCCTGAAACAGTTTGAGCAGAAATAGCCAATCTGGGCAAATCTAGCAACTTGTCTAGCTCCTCGCTGCAGCATCCGATGACGATGACACGCATATGCTCGCGAAGCTGCTGATGAGACCTTCAATTTGCACCGCTTCTTGGAATAGCCCGTCCCCTACTTGCCAAGAAATGGCAAGAGGCGTCTGGACCCGAAATTTCAATTTTTTTGGCTCTCGCTCTCAATCAGATACTTCGCTCTCAATCAGGCGAATATGTTGTTTCTAGTGGTATCCTCGTAATCCGCTAGTCGCAGATGTCGAGTTCGAATCCTCATGGGGTGAAAAATTCGCGAAATTTGCGGGTGAAAGCGAAATATAGCTAAAAAGCTCTCGTGAGTACCAAAATTCGACGTTAGCACCGTTGACGAGGGAAAGGGACGGCTGGACCCTTTTCGCGATAAAAATAAAATTCAGCACGCACCGCAGGAGGAAGGTGGGGCAGGCATGAAAAGAAATAAAAAGAAGAAAAAAGCCCCGGTGTTTACCCCCTCCTGTTGTGTGACCCTGGACGGTTGTATGTAGTTAGTTGTGCGAAAAAATACACTGAAAAGTGTAGTACTCTACATACGGTGAAAAAGTGTAGTACACGTCTCACCACGAAAAATGGGGGGACTGTCGCCATAATAAATAGGACGAAAACACACACACATCGTCAGTAATAAAAAAATCGGGCTTAACAATGCCGGCACTCTTCTTGAATCTTTTTTTTTTTTATTGCCGCGAACGTCCGATAAATCCTTGTGTCGTGTACTCCGTGGACACCGGCTGGTACATAGTTTTCGCGGCAAGGCATGGACATTCGCAGGCTTGGACAACCTCGCCTACAACCAAGCACAGATACAAATGTCCCTTAACTGGGTTTGGGCCGGCGTTTCCGAACCCTGCCTGACCTTGGAGGTTGGCAACGGTGCGCCCGACCGGGTTACGCAGGTTGCACAACGCCTAGTGGTTGGTCTAGTCTACAGGTCAACCCCCCGTAACCGTGCCCACTGGCCTCCTGTGATGCCTTTTTTCTTTGCAANCAAGGCAGGTTGCACAACGCCTAGGGGTTACAGGTCACTTCAACGCCCCCGTAACCGTGCTTACTGGCCACCTGTGCATATGCCGGCACTCTTGGAAGCTTCTTTTTATTATTACAATATTGCCGCGAATGTCCAAAAAATCGGTGTGTCGTGTACTCTGTGGACACCGGCTGGTACATAGTTTTCGCGGCAAGGCATGAACATTCGCAGGCTTGGACAACCTCGCCTGCAACCAAGCACAGACACAAGTGTGCCTTAACTGGGTTTGGGCCGGCGTTTCCGAACCCTGCCCGACCTTGGAGGTTGGCAACGGTGCGCCCGACCGGGTTACGCAGGTTGCACAACGCCTAGTGGTTGGTCTAGTCTACAGGTCAACCCCCCGTAACCGTGCCCACTGGCCTCCTGTGATGCCTTTTTTCTTTGCAAACAATAATTGATACACCGGGTGTCGCAGATAGCATTACCGATAGATTCAAGGACCGATGAGGCTGTGCGCGAAATGCTTGCTCCGTGATCCCTGGAAAATAGGCCCTGACCTGTTATGCATGCTTATGTTTATGCATAACTGGGCTTTTCGTGCATAGTCTAGTCTAATAAGCTAAATAAAGCATAAGTTGGAGCGCGCATAGTCTATAGACTATACATTTTTTTTATGCATAAAAGTGTGCATAACAGGGGTGGTTGTCGTGCATAGCGGTGATTATGCACGAGTGAGATGGGGGTAAGGGGTGGCTCAGACGCTCAGACAGCTCATTGTAACCAAAAAAGAACCTTTTTATCCCCTTCATAGCCCCTTGCTCTTTTAACTCTTTAGTTTCAAGTTCACAGATCAGACAACAAATTGTAGATCAATCATCATCATCTGGAGATTGGAGATTCGGTGAAATTAAAAAACATTCATTCGTTGTTAAACCAACCTTCATGACTGTTGATTCAAACTACTTGACTTTTGTACAAGAAGAGAGGAGAGAAAAGACGCAACGACCGAAGGCCGAAGACCAAGACCACAGGAACACAGGACACACCGCACTGATTCAGCCATCCTCTGCCTTCATGGAGCCAGCATTTTCTATTCTGCGTGCGTGTAGGACCAGAGAGGCAGGAGTCGAGCTTCAGCGATCGCATTGCCGCAGCTGCCCTTCTCAATCAAGTACCATGATACAATAGAGGGCGCGGAGAGTAGTAGTACGGGAGTAGTACGCGGATACGCTGTTTTTTGCCCGTGATGTGTGTTTGTGGTGTCTTGGATATGAGTCCGATAGACTATATCGTATTGGAGGCGCTTTCTTATTTGTTGCTGTTATTTTTCTGTTTCGTTTGGTACTGCATGTATTTTCAGGTGAATTCTACGCATAGTGCCTGTGCGTACTTTTGTTCCTGTTGGAATTGAGTGTGTGGCATGGCTTTGGCTTGAATTGTTTTCTTGACGTTTGTTGTGCGGTTTGTTGCAGAAAACAGGGAACAACCCTGCTGTTTGGTTCATTCAGTGGCCATTATTACGTGGTATGCCAGCGGTGTTCCATTTTACAGCAGCAATAATAATTCGAGCGAAGCGAGATTTCTAATCTTGCCTGAGAGGGCTCAGCGCAATATAGGGGCCGATGCAGGAAAAAAAGTGCGTGCGTGTGTTGTGTTCGCTTAAACTAGGTTTTAGAGTACAGGACTTGATTTGTGACTACAGGGCGCACTTTTTTTTTTTACACAGCAGAGCAGCAAACAGCAACAGCAGACAACACGCGCTCAGCGAGCAGACTGAACACACACGCACAGCAGACAACACGCGCTCAGCGGGCACAGCGACACACCAACAGCGCAGAGCGGACACAGCCACAGCGGCCTGCATGGCATGGCAATTGCATGATGAGTAGACGTCCGTTGGGGCCGATTGACCCGAACTCCCTCCGTGAGGCAGAGACGCACACAGACTCGCGGCGCAGACAAAGCCACGGGGAGAGGGAGCCCCTAGGCAGCCCACAGCTTGACCGGGCGAGAGCTGCTGCTCGTCAGAGGACTGCCGCCAGGCGTGCGGCGGAGA